GTTACAAAAAGCCAACCATCCATGGTCATACTGTCCCCCCTCTACACACATCTACATATACACACATGTATAAGCATGTAATAGATATGCCTTCCCTATCAAATATGATTATATATTATTTATGCACTTTATTAATTAGTGCCTTCCATATGCATTCCAGCTCAAAATGTGAAAACTTACAAAAAAATATTGACACGCAACACTCTTTATCTAATGGTCAATCCTTGATTGTGGCAGATAATGGAGGGGGAGGGGAATGAACATCACAACATTTTGAAAAAAGAAAATTTTGAGCTTACTACCTCCTTTTAGCAGGGTGGTTCTGCAGTATTATGTCGAGTGATTTGTCTGTCATCTATTTCCTGAACTTGGGAGGGGGGGAATGGTTCAAACAGCAGTCATTTGGGAGAAAAGGAGTAAAAAGTGGCCGGAATAATCTATAAACTGGCCAGTTAGTCTCTGAATAAATCAAGAGGTGGCTGTTCATTAAGAAATTAGAAGTGTCATTTCCAACTTGTGATTTCTGCAAACATTGGATTCTACCCAAGCTGAATTTATAAACAGTTAACGAAGCCAGAATTAAGTGGAGGCCTGACGAAATGTCACCTATTCTTAATCACTTCCAAATTTCAGGAGCAGAGTAAGATGTTGGTTGGGACATGACAACTTTCTAACCTCTGTGTATTGGTAAGATACTAGCCAGAAAAACTCAGAATTATGTTGAAAGAAAAGCCCATTAACAAAAGAAGAAAAGAATGTATTTATGCTACAAAGTTAAACATCACACTGAGCTTTTCTGAAACACTCTGGAACTTAAAAAAGCAAGCATACAAAATGTATTTTGAAGCTTTTAAGAGTAGGTTAATATGTTCCATGTGCCATTTTTATTTTCAAAGAATACTGTGAGAAATAAGCTATCATTAAAAGTACTTGTGAAACTTGTAAATATCTCCACATCTTTTCATTCAATTTTTAAAAATACAAATTAATTCAGCGCTACAAGTTTTAAGAGAAAACATCTTTTTTTTTTAAACCAAAAGTTGCCAGAAACATACCACACTATTTGTGATAAACATTTGTTTCATGGAAGAAGCCAAGTCTAATCATAGGAAAATGAGCGGTTATGGAGCTGCAGCTTCAGTAGGGAAAAGGCTACAGCAGGAAACACTTGTCATCCCGCGCCCCCTACCATCAGACCACCAGAAACACAATTACATGTCTGGGAGCCTTGCTGCTTTTAAGAGTTTCATGAAGAAGTTTTCATAAATCCCTGGCAAATTTGTGACCGGGCATATGAATAGAACAAAGATATAAAAAATGAAATCACTACATACTAAACTCAAGAAATCCTAGGAATACCATAATAAAGTCATGATGTCTATCCACTTTTCAGTAATTCACCCGGAAATGTGATTTTACAACCAACCCCCCAAATAAAACAAATTGAATAACCCAGTTTACCATGCAAAGAAATCATAAGAGGGCCCAAGACAGAGAGTTAGGCTATAGGGGTTAACAGTAGCTAATAATGACTATGTTTTCAAAAAGGACTGGAGAGTGAGAAGGCCAATGAGTTATGACTGTTACCACGTAGACAAAACACGAGTTGTCAATCAGCTTTCCAAAACATTGGCATGTGTCTCCCCTCTATAAGAAATCCACTCACACTATTGTGTTTGTGCCTTACTTTCCAATATATTGCTGCCAGGCCCCAGCAGTCACCATCAAGTGCATTTCTATTGTCTGGTTTTGTTTTCTAAATAAGCAGACAAAAGACCCGTACGTGGCTAGTGTTGTTTATGATGGTCTCCCCTTAAGCAGTTTTATCTGATATTCTAATCTCTAATCCTCTGGCCATATTTTGAAATAAAGCATAAAGTTAAATGATATATTTGCTCTCTATTCTAGACTGGATGCAATTGATTTTAACTGACTAAATTATCTGATCTCTGCCAAGAATTTTATTTCATTAAGAAAATGATATTATAGAGCATCTGAGATCATAGAGCAGACTAAACATAATGCCAAAGGAGTTCTGAGAATGCTCCACAGTGAAGGTTTGATTATTTGCAGATGGAATATGAAAAAAAGGAAAAGAATCAGATCCCAGGCATTAGCCTAACCAATCCTGATATCACTGCTGCCGACATCACAGCACAAAGTCAAGAAAATAACTGATCTTCTAAGTCACAGCACCTTTTTTTACGGTACTAATCACTTTTCTTCCTAGAAAGTAATACTTCACTGCCACCATCCAAAACAAAGGGAAAAGGGGAAATGTTGGTACCACAATAGGCTCCAGCATGTCAACTGTCACTACTGAGAAGATTTGGCTAGTACTCAAGCATTCACCAAGGAACTAATTTAAATCAATCTCCTTTGGGAAAGCCAATTGTTTGGTATGTGCAACAATTGGTGTATGATCAATCAGCGGGCATGAGATCAATTAAAACCAGCTTAAGCCTGTGAAGAGGGACAATTCACACAACCTGAGTTAGATCTCTATTCATTTCAATACTCTCAATGCAATCCTTAGGCTTCCCTGCAAAGCAGAAAAGCTACTATCACCCTACACTGTCTCGCCAGCCCTTTAAGTAGTTCCACTTTTAATTAAAAACACAGTACGCCTTTTGTTGGCACAGATAGTGTGGTCACTTTTAAGGACCAAAGTTATTTTAGCCAGCAGCTTCAGGTTTTGGAAGGGACATCTGTTAAGCGAAACACACACACACATACACACTTTGATTTTTTTTTTTTCCTTTACAACCTTACTAGTTTATATGTAGTTTGAAAGCATTTGAATTTTATTAAATTGAAAGGTTTGTCTGCCAACAGTTACTACAGTGGCAAAAGTTGCACACTTTAGAATTGGGTTTCTAAACGTCAGCACTTGGGGATGTAGCAGTAATTGCCCTGAGATTTTGCTAAAGCAGCTTTGAAACAAATAGGTTTTGCATCAGATACTTAAGGAGGCATAGGCAGAACTTTGGAGATGGCACTGCAAATAGAAGCATGCAGTATCGCTTCTGGCCGCAGGGGTGCTGTAAAGCCATGCTCCACCAAAGAGCATCTATGTGTTAAGTTCTACTAAAGCAACAAGCTCGATTCCTCCCCATTCAGCCACAATCCAACAAGCAGTGTGGATCAAAGACATCGCTGAATTAGCAAGTCATTTAATAAACAAGAATTTGGCAAGGGGTTTTAGCTCTTTCTGTATGTTGAACATTAGTCTTTTCAATCAAATAGACTGCAACCTCTATTTATAAGAAGGAGGGTGGGGGGAACCTCTCCAAACACTTTGACCACAGTGTAATCAAAACTTGCCAGCTCTACCAAGTGATACCTGGAAAGAAAAGACTGGGGTGGAGAAAGGCAAGGGGAGGTGAAGGAGATGGAAAGGGACTTTTACAAGACATAACAATACCAAACTTTCACAGCCTCTGGCAAGAAATTCCTCCCTAATGTATTTATTCAGAAAAACTTATGAAGATAAGCATTTTCGAAATGTCAGAAATGAGAGACCCAAAGTAAGAGAACCCGGGGTTGGAGAAAGGGGTGTCCTTTTTAAGCACAGCTCCGTGGTGTCAATTGCAGAGCGGAGATGGGGGCGGCGGAAATCGCACAGGACCAGCTGTCCTGGGCTCTGCCCTCAGGCCGGCCAACCTTCAGCCCTGCGGGTAGGTGAGAACAGCTTAACGACGTCCTAAAAAGCTTTGAAAAATTAAGGGCGCAAAAGCTCTCTCCAAAATCTGGATGCAGGACTGGAGGTTCCATAAAAAGAGTCAGAAACAACCCACATCACAGGTCGAGCGAGACGTTCATATCCTAGAAAAACCCACATCTGTCAACCTCAGGACAAATTCTAACTGCGCAGAAGTCCAAACTGCTAGAGCAAGATGGATAAGCTCTGGGGAGCTGCTGTCCCCCTTCCGCGAGGCAGTAGCGCAAGGTGAGCGCGTGTGTTGGCGGTGGGAGTGTTGTGGTTTGTGCTTCAGTCCTTCAGAAGACTTAACTGTGTTTAGCAGCCCTTCCCCTAAAATGAAGTTAGATTAGCTGCAGCCGCAGCAGGACTCCAACACGGGCGCACTAAATCTTCGGGGAAGCTAGCTCTCTGAAACCGTTCTGGAGGCTTCCACTGGCCTTCCGGCAGCTCACACAGGTGATAGATAGGGAGAGGCGGCTAAAAAGCCACACGTGAGTGTCACCGAGACCAGGAACCTCAGAAATAGCTGCTTGTGAGGGAAGTAAACGCAGAGGGCAAAGTCGGGCCTGTCCCCAAAACATCATTCTGCCAGCGAGCGTTCCCCCCAAAACAACCTGCGCACGAATTGCTGCCCAGTGTACCAAGTTCAGGGCGTCCTCCCACCTCGTCTTAGGGTCCAGAGGAAGACAGCATTGCTCTTTTCCTGGAAATGCGGATCCTCCACGACGATTTGGTACCCCTTCCCAGCCCTCTAGCTCGCACTCTCTGGCCCACACGCGCGCATAGACACACACAGACACACACACACACAGTTGTAGGTAGGCCGTGTCGAAAACCATCTGGGGACAGGGTTTGGGGCGCACCACGTGGGTGGCGAAGATAGAGAAAAATGAGCTGCAGGAGAGATAGTTGAGAGGACTCAAAAGAGAAAAAGACAAAAAAAAAAAAGAACGGGGGGGGGGGGGGGNGGGGGGGGGGGGGGGAAGGATGCCAGATTAAAAAAAAAAAGAGAGAGAGAGAGAGACCTAAAGAGAAGAGTTCAGAAGTAGAAGCTCGACAGCTAACGTGGGTGCGGACCGCACCTCTCAGCCCGGAGCGCCCGCAGGACGCCCGGCTCACCCGGCTCGCCGCGCCTCCTGAGGACAGAAAAGACCGAGCTCTCGGCAGCGCCCCGGGGCCCGGAAAGTGAGGAGCCCAAAGGCCCGGTGGAGGGCACGGCCCTGCCCACCTGAGCCCCGGGGCGAGTGACGCCGCCCGCGCCCCCGACCCCACGCGGCTCCGGCAGAGCAGAACTCACCTCGCTTACTGCGTCTCCATCGATTGCCTTGGCAGTGGCTGTAATCCATACAGTTCAGGATGATGAGGGCAAAGGAGAAGAGGCGAAACTGCATCTGGGCGGTCGGGCGGGGGAGAGACGCCTCTCACAGTCGGGGAACTGGAGGGCTCATCCGAGGAGCCGGCGCAGACCGCGCTGCTGGGGAAGACGCCGACGGGGGAGCCTCCACTAGCCAGCGGGGCCGCGCGGGTCAGTTTGGCATCTCTCCGCCTTGAACCTGAGAGACGAAGAGGAGAAGCCGGGTGGAGAGAGGCCCAGGGAGGCAGCTGCCTCTTCACGCGTCCCAATTTAAGAAAGGAAGGGAGGGGGAAAGCAAACCCACTGCCTGGCGCGAGCCGCGGAGCGGCTTAACCCGGAGCGCACAGCTGCAGGCAACTTGGAGAGCAAGGTGATTACAATCAGTGAATTAGCAACCTCCGCGGACCTACAGGCTCCGACCCCGGGGAAGGGACGTTGCGCGGGCGCTTCAGGAAAAGAAAAGAGCTCCACGGTCCCCGAGGGTGCAGGGTTTAAGGCGCGCTCTTAGGTCCTTTGGTCCAGCAGTGGGGTACCCAAACGCTGTGGCCGCGGTGGCGGGCGCGGGTCGCCTACCGTGAGCACTTACGTCTCAGGCTGCGCGGCGTGCCTAGGCGCGGCGCTCCATCCCGGGATCGAGAAGCGAGACACCTCGCTAGCACGTGGGCTGGGGAAAAGTTTGCCGAGACCCGCAGGGAGCGCGTGGCAGCTCTGGCTGCGGGCGGCCGCGAAGGGTTCGAAGCGCGCTGAGGTTCCTCCGGACTGACCGCGCCTAGCAGGAGCGCGGCTGGGCGGGCGGGTCCGCAGCCTCTGGGATGCTGCGTCCCCGCCGGTGAGTGCGATCCTCCGGCGAGGGGCGCGCCCTCTGTCACTCTCTGGATCCGTATCCAATTGTGCAACCGCACAGAGCTTTCTCCACAGCCACTTTTCAGCTAAGGTTTCTCCTTTTCAAGCTGTGGGAGACAGAACGCTCCTGAGAGGGTGAAGGGATGGCGAGCGCACTTTCCGATGGAGATGCAGCCGGGCCCAGGCTCGGGATGCTTCTATAAGTAGGTGGTGCTGTGGTCCAAGGCAACTAAGTCAGAGCTGCCTTGGAGTTCCTGGGTCCTAAAGCCAGAATCTCTCCGGTTTCCCTGAGGTCCTAAAGAGCGCTGACAGCCTCCCAGAGAGCCTAACCCCAGGAGAGCCCCTTCTGCGCTTTCCCAGAGTAGGTAGCTAAACTGAAGAGTGGCTGAGATGAAGGCGCACCCCCAGACTGTGCCGGCCCTACAGCCCAGCTGTCTTCCCCCCGGGGCGTCTGCTCTGGTGCTCCAGGGCCGGTACCAACCTCAGCGCCGAACTTCGTGCGGGAAGCCTTGACTGATGGCTTCTCCTAGACCTTCCCTTCCGAACTCAGAGCCGGGACTGCCGTTCCTAAAGCGGAGTTTAAACCTGAGCCTCATCCCGAGAGATGCCACACCTCTGATACTCTTACATTTATGTCTTGGCTTTGTTTTATAGGAAGATGTCTTAGCACAGTTGAATCTAAAACGCGTCCTTGGTTTAGGGAGGGAAAGGGGTGTTCCAATCCTTTGCTTATCCTTAGAAATCTTCTTTCTTGACTTTGTGTCTCCTCCAGAAAAACTTCCAAAAACCTTTGATCCCTTGCTTGCAGTATTCTAGAAATTAGGGCCTTGCTTCTTCAAAGAGAAGTTCAGTTCTTACTGAAACACTCCTTATTCATAATCCTCCTCCCTCCCCCACCCTCGCAGTCTCCTGAATTGAACTTTTAGGTGCCTTGAGTTTAGGGAATACTCTGTTTAACGAAGTGCTACATACTCTCGATGCTATTCTATTTCATTCTGGTGAAATCTTAGGTTCTGAAGTCATTACTGTAGGAATGAATTTACTGCCTAGGCAAAAGATAAGAATTTATACTGCTAACCAGGGGTTTAGGAATGTTTGCAAATATGACCACAAGTACCATATTATTATGCTAGCATTTTGTACCATTTAAATTTCTCTATGCCTTCAGTTTAAGATGTTCAGAAGTTTGGAGATTTGAAACAATCATATAGAAACAATAAGACTATTAAAATAGCACATTTATTAATTGCTCCATTAATACCTATCTGTAAGTATTTTTATAGACATTACTATTTACATAGAAGCATTTATGTGGCTAAGAATTTTAGTGTTATTCATTTTATGTATGTCTGAGAACATCCAAGTCCATCTGAGTTGAAGTCCCTGGTCCCATTTCCCAGATAAGAAAATTCAGCCCCAAGACTGGCCCATAGGGCACAAACAGAGTTAAGCACATAATGGCTAGAGCGGATTTGTTTCTTAGCTTTCAGAACCTTTGGTTTTTGTCACAGAATTTGGAAGTGATTGGAAACATTTCAGTTTAGGGAGTGGCCCAGTATTTGGCATGATATTGCAGTGACTACCCCCCAAGTATCATAAATACCATTTCTCCCACAGACTCACACATACACACACCAAATTCATTGCACTTCCAAAGGAATTCAATCCATGACACAACAAACTCCTCTCTAAATAAACCCTCTGCCTTTATAGCCTTGGGATCCATTCAAGATTAGAGATCATCAATGTCTTTTAAAATATTTAAAGACAAAAGTAAGTACAAGACCAAGTAGATCTAGCTCCACGTGGGTTGTTTTACACACATCTCTCGATCTTTTTCCTTGTCAGTACTTTTAGGTAATTAGGACAAGATCTCTTTCACCCCTACCATGTTCTGATTTACAATCAATTTTCTATTTCTATCAAGAAGTGAGTCCAACAGTGTGAGAACAAACTCGTAATTGATGAGTTTTCATTGTAGAAAGATGAGAATTAGTGACTGTCATCCTTAAATTTACAGACCACTTTCAATCTTCTGTCTTCAAAGGTTACTTTCCAAAATTTTAATCATTTGGATTGCACTGTTGGCATTTTTTAAACCAGAGATACTTTTCAGCTTAGTGAACTCCTAAATCCATTTCACACACAAAAAAGAATTTTAATAGTATCACTTCTGCTAAATATTGGTTAACGCTGTTAATAAGACAAGAATGGACCCTGGAAGCAAAGAAGAGTCCTAATTCCTAATTCCTTTCTCCATGTGCTCTCTCCTGGTCTGTCTCTGCTTTTTAAAGGACACCAAGGAACTTCAAAAATCTTTCACACTTTGTTCTTAGGGTACTTAGGATCTCACACTTAAGCTCTTTGGACTAGTTTGTTGATAAAGCAGAATTTTTTTTTTTCATTTTTTTGCCATTCACTGAATATTTTTCCTGATTTCAAGAACCCAGGAATGTTTTTGCTACTAAAAAGTACACCCCTAGCAGATCCTAAACTATCATTAACTTTAATCCCATATTTCTGCATCCTTTCATTTCTAAACTGTGAAAGTGTTGTTGATGAGGCTCAGTGCTCAGAATTTCTCCATCGTAGAGACTCAATGGACTTTTTCTTTAAACTGAGTTTAGATGGTGGTTTCATTAAACTCGCTTTATAAACAGACATGTGTTTGGTGTCTGTTTACAGAGAAGCGTACTGAGGAGGTTGACATCATACCACTCACTGGTGATAGAGAAGGTTAACCGAGTGTGAGGGAATGCCTTCCACAGAGATTCTATCCAATTACAGTGTATGAAAGTGCCCATCTCCCTATAAACCAGCCAATGTGTTTTGATCTTTAGCACTCCTAGGCAGAATGTGATATATCAATGGTTTTAATTTTTATTTCTTTTAAATGAAATTATGCACCTTTAACATGCTTAGGCAATTTATATTTCCTTTTTCATCAACTTTCCAAAGATATTATTTACCTTTTTTTCTGGTCTTGCTCAATTTTATTTTGTACAATATACTATAGATATATATAAACATATTATCTCTTGCTATTTGGGTTGCAAATGTTTTTTCCAGTTTTATCATTTGTCTCTACTTAAATTTTAAAAATAACTTTATGTAAAATTTGTCAGTCTTATCTTTTTAATTTCTTTGTGTTACTCTTGTAAAAAGCTCTTCTTCATGCCATTCTTTTTGGTTTTTATTTGGGAGTTTTCTAAGACACTTTTTTCAGTGTTAAAAACTGTAAGATGATAGTGGTTTCATGACTGTATGATGTGGCTACATTAGAATAGAGTTTACATTTTCTAAATTTTCACTAAGTATTTGTGTTCACAGATTTGGTTGATTTTGGCTCTGACTCTGATTTTCATCATCTAATTGATTGAGAGTCTTCTTATCTTTTCTGTTATCAGATATTCATATTCTCAGAGTTAAAGTTTCCCACAATCTTCTTATTGATTGTTGAAATTAGTTGGTGTCTTGCTTACTTTTCCACTCTAGAATTTATCCGTTATTAACTTTGGAACAAATTATGGCATTTTTGCCATTGTATTAATATCGATAGTATATTTTTTTTCTGTTAAATACACGCTGAATGTCCATTTTTCTAGTTACATGTGATAGCCTATGTTCATTTATTATATTTTGTATGAGGTAATTAAATTAATTAATACAAAAGATCTTCAACCAGGTCACTGACCAGTTCTTATCCAGGCTAATTTGTTGTTTTTAAAAGCCACATCATAATCACTTATTTAACTTTTGAAAAATGTGTAAATATTTGACTCCTCCAAATATTAATACTATGTCCTGCCACTTGAGAACTCTTCTGTAGACTGATGTGATAAGGCCCATTTCTTATTTTGTTTTCCATACTCATGGAAGAGATCCAGGAGGCTCTCTTCAAAGGAAGTCTAACTTAGACCAGCTTATAAAGAAAAAAACACAAGATTTGACCTGAAGTTTTAAAATTATTCCCTTTATTTAATCTCGTGCACTCTGAACTCTTTTGAACTAAAATAGTGTCATTTCCATTCTTTTTTTGTGTGAATGTGGTTGCTGGAAGGAAGTGTTACTACACTTGGTTAATAACAAGAGATAAAGATTCTCAGCTATTTTAAGAATGAGACAGTTTTCATTAATAGAAAAGAATGTCTCTTTTTGCTGTTTGTGGACATTCAATTAGTTATGCTAATGGAGATGAACAATAGAACAAGTAACCCCTAAGAGCAGGAAATACACGTCCTAGA